AGAAGGAACGTTGTGTGGAGGAGAAGGATGCAGAGATAGCCGCCTTGCTGAAGAAACAGCTGAAAAAAACCACCACAGGCACTCTGCATGGTGAAGGAGGAGCTTGTGGAGGTAAAGGTGGAGTTGGAGGTGGAACAGGAAGTGAGGGTCGATCCACCTGAGCAAACCAATGAGCCGATCCCAACAACGCAGAGGAGGACAACACCACGGTGGAGAAGATTCATCAATTCCTTTTCTTTTATCCGCCCAAACATCAACGATGACTAAAAAGGAAAACATAAGACTCAAAGGCAGCCCTGACATCGGCTTTAAAAACTTTAAAAAACAAACTCACAACATCAAAAATTAGTAAGACATTAAAACATTTCAAGTACAGTCTAAAGCTCAAAGTGAGTGAGCAACAACATATACTCACAGCCAGTCAGGATATATATTTAAACACTTCACAGTTATTAGATCTGGTTAGACATCAACAAAGGTTCCAGAAGAGACTCACAGTGATGTGCAGTTTTAGCCACTAGGGGCAAAAAAACAACCTTAATTTTAAAATAAATAAACTATTCCTTTGCTTCTAGCACCCCTAAATAAGAGGAACATTTAGTCATTACAAGTTATCAGGTTTATGTTATATCGTCATGTTTGGTTTATAGTGTTCATTTTCATATTTAAGTTATATTTTTCATATTTACTTAATAGTTCATTTTTATATTTATGTTATATTTATCATGTTTAGTTAATAGTCAATATTTATATGTATCTTATATTTTTCATATTTACTTAATAGTACATTTCTATATTTATGTTTAGTCCATTGTTTTCTTGTTAAGTTAAAGTCTTGTCAATCAATAAAAAAATAATAATGATAATGATAACAATACTGACACGTTTGATTTATTTCACGTTTGTTTCTCCTGTCTAAGTTTAGCTTCTTGCTTTTAATTTCAAGTCACCAGAGATTTAGTCTGAGAATTCAACTAATAATAACAATCAATACAAAGACATTCAAATTCAAAATAACACTAGAATTCTTTCTCGTTTGTTCCTCCTGTTTTTGTCTAGTTACCTTTGTATTGAGTGACTTTAGCTCACCTGGCTCTGCCCTGATCAATACACTGACTTAAAGCTACTTCAGTACTTACTTTATTACCTTGTTTACAAAGTTTGCATTCAACAATTATCATAATAAATATAAACAAATGAAAAAACAACACTATGTATTTGATTTCTTTCAAGTTTGTTTTAGTCAACTATTTGATTTTAAATGCAACAGCACCAGCAAAAGTTTTTTTTTTACATTTCTGCTGATGTCCAGGTGTATAGTATATCAGTATGTAGTGTCTCTACTTTAAAGAGTCCTCTCCTGCTGATGTTCAGGTGTATATCAGTATGTAGTGTCTCTACTTTAAAGAGTCCTCTCCTGCTGATGTTCAGGTGTATATCAGTATGTAGTGTCTCTACTTTAAAGAGTCCTCTCCTGCTGATGTTCAGGTGTATATCAGTATGTAGTGTCTCTACTTTAAAGAGTCCTCTCCTGCTGATGTTCAGGTGTATATCAGTATGTCGTGTCTCTACTTTAAAGAGTCCTCTCCTGCTGATGTTTAGGTGTATTTCAGTATGTAGTGTCTCTACTTTAAAGAGTCCTCTCCTGCTGATGTTCAGGTGTATATCAATATGTAGTGTCTCTACTTTAAAGAGTCCTCTCCTGCTGATGTTCAGGTGTATTTCAGTATGTAGTGTCTCTACTTTAAAGAGTCCTCTCCTGCTGATGTTCAGGTGTACTGTATATCAGTATGTAGCAGAGGTGTGGACTCGAGTCACATGACTTGGACTCAAGTCAGACTCGAGTCACCAATTTGATGACTTTGGACTCGACTTGACAAAATCACAAAACACTTGCGACTCGACTTGAACTTGAACACCAATGACTCGGGACTTGACTTGGACTTGAGCCTTCTGACTTGAGGTGACTTGATAATTTAATTCAGGGGTCTCCAACACGCCGATCGCGAGCTGCCGTTAAGGCCCTGACACACCAGGCAGTCACCGGAGAACTCGCCGACACCCGACACCGACAGTTCCATCGACGGGTTCTCTTGCGTCTTGGCCGTGTGTCGCACTGGAAATCACCGCAAAGACTTCAGCCGAGCACGTACGAACTGCGCATGCGTGAGTGGCAATAACTCTCCTTACCAGCAGGCGGCGGTAGTGTGTATTCGTCATTCAAAATAGGCAACAACCGGAAGACAGAGAAGAAGAACAGACTGATATAAACAAACAAATAGCGTGTGCCGTTCCATTTTCACTCTCGTCCATCGAAAACATGTTTTAGAATATAAAAATACATGAATGATGAAATGAGCACATAAAGTGCAGACATACTATAAAATCACAGTTAATAGACCTGCATCTGATGATCGCAGTGTTCTGGCGGGTGTGTCGTTTATTGAGTCAGCAATGTAATAATGGCCACTTTTACGATGAGATGAAAAACCGGACTTGACCAAACAAATCACGGAGCTCTCAGCAGAGGACAGCCGGGGACGCTCCCGCCGATATCAGAGATGTCCCTGCTATGTGTGGGAGGTAAGAGAGGACATTTAAGGGCTATGTTTGATGTCTTTAAGTATCACCTGCTGGTGTTTAGCTGCTGTCCTGTGCCTTAAATCGTTTGTTTACGTCCCTCACTTCCGTTTCGCTTCTCATTTGCTAGCTGAACAGCTGATCAGAGTGGTTTCTTGGCCCGATAGCTTGTGTCCGACACCCGGCCGATTCAACATGTTGAATCGGCCGGGTGTCGACCGTGAAAGGCCAAATAAGGCGTGTCACGGCCGAGGGTTCGGGACACACCAAATTGACTTTGGGCGACAAGGAACCCGTTTTCGCCAGACAACGCAAGACGGCCGATATCGGCCTGGTGTGTAGGGGCCTTTAGAAGAGCAGACTCCCGTCGGGGAGAGCAGAATCTTCAGCCGCTGCAACTCTTGCTGTGAATCCATGCAGGCAGGGGCGGGACTTTATTTTGCTGAGCCACCATGCGGCCAATCATATGCGAGGACACACTAGGATCATACCATTATGTGAAAGAAGGGTGGGGGGCAGACGCTCCAAAGACAGCAGGTGTAGTGGTACAGGCCAGCTACAGAGCCACGGGGAGACGGGGAGCCGGATTTAAATGCAAGCGCGTCGGAAAAAGTCAAGAAATTTGCGAAAACCGAAAAAAGAAGCAGCTTCTGGCTGCATTTCAATGATATTGGAGAAAGCAAAGCTGAGTGCAGGATTTGTAAAATGAATGTTTTGGTAACCACTCAGGATTTATTGCCAGAGGTGGGAGAAGTTCAGATCTTGTACTTGAGTAAAAGTACCTGTGTGTAGGAATACTCGGTTGCAATAAAAAGTCCTGCATTCAAAATGTTACTCAAGTAAAAGTAGAAAAGTATTATCATCAAAATATACTTAAAGTACCACCTGCAGAGGGATGTAGATTCAGGTTTTTTTCCGCATAAAGACCGCCTCGCTGCACATTATCCCTTGCATAAAGATAGATCGTGGGTCCCTTATAACATGTTGTACAGTGGAAATAAACATTCTGGATACCTTAACATCAGGGATCTTATACATTAAACTCCTTCTGAATCAAACCGTCACGGTAGCCTTACCTTACTGATCCCTCTTACAATAGAAGAAAACACGTTACTTTACCAGCAGAGAGAAAAAAGATTATTAAATGATTAATGTGACTAATAAAGAGCAGTTTGATTATTAAGTATTATTCTGATCGATGTCATTACATTTGTTGAAAAGCACATAATGACTTGTTTAAGACTCGTTTTGTCAAAGTTTAGGACTTGGACTTGACTTGAACTTGCCCATCCTGACTTGAGACTTGACTTGGACTTGAGCGCAAAGACTTGAGACTTGACTCGGACTTGAGCGCAAAGACTTGAGACTTGACTCGGACTTGCAAAACAATGACTTGGTCCCACCTCTGGCAGATAGTATATAGAGTATAGACTTACATGTGAAAAAATGTCTCAGTATGCACACTTTATTAATAATAAGAGAACTCAATAAGTAAAAAGAGGACATCATAAATAGACATTGGCTCATCTTACTCTCCCCAATGTGTCAAATTTGTTGACTGTTTTCTTACTTTTTTACAACAGTCAATATTAGGTTATCTTATGTATGATTTCATTTTTAATATAGAAAAATATAATGTAATATAATATGATGTAATAAAATGATCAAACATTGAGTGAACTTTCATTAATTCAAGTTAAAACAAAAAGCCAAAAAAAACGTATGACCGTTTTCTTGTTGAAATGAAAATATGAGATGAAACATAATGTGATATAATATATAAAATCATAATCAAAATAATAAAATATAACACAATATAATATAATAATATAATAAATTGAAATTATATATTTTTATATATATACAAAAAACACTTTTAATATAGTATTTGTCATATTTTATTTTGTTTTCCTGTACCCTGTTTCTTACATATTGATAGTTTTGTGTGAATATTATGGTATTAGTCTTGACAAATAGTTTATAAAAGTTAAATTATTTGCTCCTTTCTTAAAAGAAAAAGTGTATTCTTCTTTCTGTGTCTTTGTATGCACCATTTACATAAAAAGCTAATTCTTCATTTGTGTAAACCCGATTGGTAATAAAATAAATAGTGCTATAAAAATATAATACAACATAATATCATTATATAATTTTTTTAAATATAGTAAATATATGATTATATATATCCCAAAGGTCATAATAACGCTAAACTCCTGAGCTTGCACTCTTTTTTTTTACGTCTTATACTTATTTTTATTGCATTGTTTGATGAACCTGTTACCAACGTTCTTCATTGCACAACTACATTGTAGCTGCGTATGTGACATTAAAACCTTTGAACCTTTGAAACGTGAACTAACAAGAAAAGGACTTCAACTACCAGCATGCATCGCTTCTAGTCTCCCGCCAACGCGCCGGAACTCGTCATATAGTCACGCAGAACATGGCTGCCGCGAGTGAGGCAAAAACAAAACATCGATGATTTTGGGGCTAATTCTCATCTAATTTGGACTAAAAACCTCAACATGTCGGAGTCTTTAGAAACTACAACTATGGAGGAGCGACAGGAGCGACTGCGGGAGCTGACGGAGTTCACAGAGAACTGTAAAGAGAAACTGAAGCATATATTAGAGAGGCTGGGATGGTCGCTGGACTACAAACAGGTACAATATGCCAAAGCTAGTGTAACGAAGATGCGGGAAGTAACTAAGTACATTTACCCAAGAACTGTACTTAAGTACCATTTTGAGTCACTTGTATTTCCATTTGATGCTACGTTGTACTTCTACTCCACTACAGTTCAGAGGTACATGGTGTACTTTTACTCCACTACATGTATTTAATACATTTAGTAACTTCACAGATGTGGATGAATGATGTGAAATATAATCAAGTGTTAAATCAGACTTTAGTTCCACCTGTAGTAAATCCACAAGCTACCCTGCAGTATACAAAGTCATTCAAACTAGCTGCACCTTTACCAGCTTTGAGAACACTTTCATGATCAATCATTATAAAACATATCATATATATTATTCTGAAATGGACCAATCTGCACAATGACTACTTTTACTGTCGCTACTTTCACTATATTTAGATGATAATACTTTTCTACTTTCACTTGAGGAACATTTTGAATGCAGGACTTTTACTGAAACAGAGTATTCCTACACTCTGGTACTTCTACTTTTACTCAAGTACAAGATCTGAGTACTTTTCCCACCTCTGGTCAAACGTCTGAAACACAGAGCAAGAGGTGTGTGTATTCTGAAAGTAAATTTAAGTTGAATTTAGTTTCTTTATTTTCGTTTCCTCTCAGGAGCTAATGGAGCAGTGCCCGTACGACTCCCACCACAGAGTCCCAGCGAGGAGCCTGGAGAAACACAAAGCCTCCTGCAGCCTCCGGAAGATGGGCTACTCCGCCGAGGAAGAGGTAACACACACATGGCTCCAGTCAAATGGAAACTAACATAGCAATGGTGTGTGTGTGTTCAGTGTGTGTGTGTTCTGGGAGTGAGTGTTAGAGACGAGCTGGGCTCTAGAAAGTTCTGTTGGCTGATTACCTGTAGTATCCTTTAACATCATATTCTTTATCTGCTTCACACACACACACACACACACACACACACACACACACACACATACACACATACACACACACACACACACACACACACACACACACACACACACACACACACACACACACACACACACACACACACACACACAAATGGAAACTAGCTTAGCAATGTCCCAGAGACCTGTATTCAAGATATTATGGCAATACAATGTTAAATAAAAAGACATGAAGTATATTGAAGTAACTGTTATTTTGTATATATTGATTGTTGTGCTTTTATTTAGGTCTTAGTGTGAGCATACGTATACATGCGTCTTTGATTGTGTATATATAGGTATATACATATTTGCATACATATTTTTAGATATATTTGTTTTTGTATTTTGGATTGTGGGAAACGGTATTTTGATCTCTGTCCGTACACACAACCTCAAAGATTGACAATAAAGTTGACTTTGACTTTTGATAAACCAATAAAACTAGTGCAAGAAGAAGCCGAGTAGAATAGAGTAGAATCAAATGGTGCAGATTATGTTGCGTGACCAATGTGCAAGTAATGCAGATGAGTATACACTAAATAAATACAATAAGCTAAATGTAGCAGAGAATGTTGAAAGTGGCCGAGTGAAAGCAGGAGTCGATACACACGTCAATAGAATGAGATAAACAAGAACAGGACGTCACACGTTAAGCTGTTCATCTGAAAGAGAGCAATAACAGGTTCTCTCTTGCAGGCGGAGATGTTGGACCCTTCTGTGTGTTATGAGAACTCTACGGTCAGAAGCTTCATGATGGGTGAGTCCTTTATCTGTGTCTGTGTCTGTGTGTGTGTGTGTCTGTGTCTGTGTCTGTGTCTGTGTCTGTGTGTGTGTGTGTGTGTGTGTGTGTGTGTGTGTGTGTGTGTGTGTGTGTGTGTGTGTGTGTGTGTGTGTGTGTGTGTGTGTGTGTGTGGTGTGTGTGTGTGTGTGTGTGTGTGTGTGTGTGTGTGTGTGTGTGTGTGTGTGTGTGTGTGTGTGTGTGTGTGTGTGTGTGTGTGTGTGTGTGTGTGTGTGTGTGTGTGTGTGTGTGTGGTGTGTGTGTGTGTGTGTGTGTGTGTGTGTGTTGTGTGTGTGTGTGTGTGTGTGTGTGTGTGTGTGTGTGTGTGTGTGTGTGTGTGTGTGTGTGTGTGTGTGTGTGTGTGTGTGTGTGTGTGTGTGTGTGTGTGTGTGTGTGTGAGGTGAAGATTTGATGCTTTTATTTTGAAATATTTTAGGCTTTTATTTTAAGATTTTATGTGATTTTTTTTCATTATTTTAATTGCTAATAATAAGAGTGTTTTACGAATAAAACAAGTCTGCAATCTGAGGCCTTAAGACTGCTAAACTCCTGAGCTTGCACTCTTTATTTATTTGTTTTACGTGTTTTATATTGCATTGTTTGAGGGACCTTTGATCCCACTTTTTCATTACACAACTTCCCTGTATCTGTGTGTGACATTAGAACCTTTGAACGTTACGATATTTCATGATTTGTAAAGATATTTGTAGTTTAAATTGTCATTTCTTAATGAACCACTTACCTCCACCATGCTCTTTTAAGAAACATGTATCTAGTTCAGGGTAAAGGAGCAATGTGATGTTAAATCATGTGTGTTTAAAGATGGAGGTTGAATATTTCCTGGTTTCTACAACACAACAAACAGACTTTTCACTTCTCATGATGTCATTTCCTCCATGCAGACAAATCGTCCCAGCAGCAGGTGATCCTGCAGGCCAGGTCTGCTGCTCCGCTCATGAGGATGGAAGGAGTCTTCTGGCAAGGTGTGAGAGTTATTTCAAACCGTCAGCAAAGATAACATCGAGTAATAATACCAGGAAGCTTTATGTAGTTACACACTCGACGAACCACAAGATGTCGCCAGAGGATTATCTGATAACTAGTTACTCATCGCTCAGCTGTTCGGTTCCTTTAACCACCTTTATAAAAATAAGACAAACATTATATACAACCTAATGTCCAATTTCCTCCATCCCCAAATAGTATTCATATTTAATAGGAAGCTCCTGATTTAACGTAGTACACTTTAACATGTCCTTTCATCTGCTCACACACACACTCACACACACACACACACACACACACACACACACACACACACACACACACACACACACACACACACACACACACACACTTTTCCTTTCCTTTCCTGTGTTGGGGAAAGTCTTCTTACATTTAGATTTGCCAATAAGCATTATTGTACTTAAGTTTTGTGTACAAAATATGTACTTGTAACAGAGTATTCCTACACTCTGGTACTTCTACTTCTACTTAAGTATAAGATTTGAGTACTTTTACTCAAGTACAAGATCTGAGTACTTCTACTTTTACTCAAGTACAAGATCTGAGTACTTCTACTTCTACTCAAGTACAATACAATATCTGAGTACTCCTACTTGAGAATAAGATCTGAGTACTCCCCCCCCCCCCCCCCCCCCCCCCCTCAGGTCAGTACTCCGGGCAGCCTGTGGACGTTCCTCAGAATCACAAGCGTGCGGTGTGCGACCTCACGGTGGCCGACAGACTGGCTCTGTACGATCACGTGGTCCTCAGCCAGCGGAAGGAAGAAGCCTCGAACAACGAGGACCTCTACGTAGACCTGGTGTCCAAACTCCAGAAGGGTAAGACTCATATCGTGGAGAGAAGGACAAAATACTGGGTCAATTCATATTGGGGATCTGCTTCCAGCTGATCTTAAAGGTCACCTATTATGCAAAATCCACTTCTCCATGTCTCTTCTACATCAACATGTGTCCCCTCTTCTTCATGTCTCTTCTACATCAACATGTGTCCCCTCTTCTTCATGTCTCTTCTACATCAACATGTGTCCCCTCTTCTTCATGTCTCTTCTACATCAACATGTGTCCCCTCTTCTTCATGTCTCTTCTACATCAACATGTGTCCCCTCTTCTTCATGTCTCTTCTACATCAACATGTGTCCCCTCTTCTTCATGTCTCTTCTACATCAACATGTGTCCCTCTTCTTCATGTCTCTTCTACATCAACATGTGTCCCCTCTTCTTCATGTCCTCTTCTACATCAACATGTGTCCCCTCTTCTTCATGTCCTCTTCTACATCAACATGTGTCCCCTCTTCTTCATGTCTCTTCTACATCAACATGTGTCCCCTCTTCTTCATGTCTCTTCTTCATCAACATGTGTCCCCTCTTCTTCATGTCTCTTCTACATCAACATGTGTCCTCTCTCTTCTTCATGTCTCTTCTTCATCAACATGTGTCCCCTCTTCTTCATGTCTCCCCCTCTTCTTCATGTCTCTTCTACATCAACATGTGTCCCCTCTTCTTCATGTCTCTTCTTCCATCAACATGTGTCCCCTTCTTCTTCATGTCTCTTCTACATCAACATGTGTCCCTCTCTTCTTCATGTCTCTTCTACATCAACATGTGTCCCCTCTTCTTCATGTCTCTTCTTCATCAACATGTGTCCCCTCTTCTTCATGTCTCTTCACAATCAACATGTGTCCCCCTCTTCTTCATGTCTCTCTCATCAAACATCGTGTCCCCCTCTTCTTCATGTCTCTTCTACAGTCAACATGTGGTCCCCTCTTCTTCATGTCTCTTCTACATCAACATGTGTCCCCTTCTTCTTCATGTCTCTTCTACATCAAACATGTGTCCCCCTTCTTCTTCATGTCTCTTCTACATCAACATGTCCCTCTTCTTCATGTCTCTTCTACATCACCATGTGTCCCCTCTTCTTCATGTCTCTTTACATCAACACGTGTCCCCTCTTCTCCATGTTCTTCTACATCAACATGTGTCCCCTCTTCTTCATGTCTCTTCTACATCAACATGTGTCCCCTCTTCTTCATGTCTCTTCTACATCAACATGTGTCCCCCTCTTCTTCATGTCTCTTCTACATCAACATGTGTCCCCTCTTTCTCATGTCTCTTCTAGACAATCAACATGTGTCCCCTCTTCTTCATGTCTCTTCTACATCAACATGTGTCCCCTCTTCTTCAAGTCTCTTCTACATCAACATGTGTCCCCTCTTCTTCATGTCTCTTCTACATCAACATGTGTCCCCTCTTCTTCATGTCTCTTCTACATCAACATGTGTCCCCTCTTCTTTCATGTCTCTTCTACATCAACATGGTCCCCTCTTCTTCATGTCTCTTCTACATCAACATGTGTCCCCTCTTCTTCATGTCTCTTATACATCAACATGTGTCCCCTCTTCTTCATGTCTCTTCTACATCAACATGTGTCCCCTCTGTGGAAAGAGACTCTGAAAGTTTCAGGAACAAAGATTCTCTCTTTTTGTCCTGATCCATTTCTATAAAAACCTGTCTGAAAATGAGCTGATCCGATTTTGGCCACTTTATGATGTCATAACGATGTTTTGTCTTGTGTAACCATTAGCAACCAAGGTAACCCCCCCCCCACCTTATCACCTGAATCTCCTCCAAGAGCACCATTGTGTTCTTTGTAACCAAATCTCTCTCAGAGGGGCGTGGGGAGGGGCTCCTTATTTTCATCTAAAGTAACAGACAGAGAATCAGCGCTTTGGAAACAGGGCTGAAACAGAGGGGATTATTCTCTTAGCCTTTCCTCTTAGCGTGCTCTTCCAGTAAAACATGTTGTTGTGTCTGTGTGTAGATGACGATCAGAATGAACCAAAGACTCACCTGGAGCTGATGGCAGAGATGAGAGACTACAAGAGGCGGCGTCAGTCTTACCGAGCCAAGAACGTCCACATCACCAAGAAGTCCTACACCGAGGTACGAGCACCGCGACAAAGTTTACCCATAATCCCTCCTCTGTGTCGTCTCACATTTCCAGGTGCCTGTGGGCCGGTATTTTTGTGTCTGATGTCTGAAAGGCGTTGTTTTTGGCTAAAATTGATGCAAATCCACCTTTATTCACATTAATTTGAAAGCAACACATGGCCAGACCTTCTGAGGAAGTTGAGAACGTAAAGTGTTTTGTCGAGTAAGAAGATGTAACACCTTCCATGCTTGTTATGGGAAGTCATTTTTCGACCGGACTTCTTTGTGCAGATGTGAGCGTCCTTAACAACGGTCAATAAGTCCTTGACAGCGGCCTGTACTACTGAAAACTCAAAAATACAAGATACGAAACATTTTGAACCGTGCAACAACATTTAAATAGTCCTATTAATACTTATTTTCGTCTAAGCTCAAGGGAGCCAGAGCAGAGGGCTTAAAGAGCCGCGGGTTGCAGACCCCTGCTCTACATGAAGAGTTAGAAACGTATTGATAACGGCTGTGTGTCCCCTGCAGGTGATCAGAGAGGTGATCAGCGTCCACTCACAGGAGCTCACCAGACAGTGGAGAGAAGAGGAAGGCGAGTCGGCCAGATCTGAACCCGCCTCCCACAGGTACAACAAGAACTACCTCTCCTGTTACGATGTTCAATTATACAATAGAATATCTATCAGAGCAGCCGAAGAGCTAACGGATATTATCACACGGCTAATGTGGAGTCCTTAAAGTGAAGTCCTCTTCTTCTTTACTTGCTTGTAAGGCGCTTTGAGCACCAGGGAAAGCGCTATATAAATCAAATGCATTATTAGCATTATTATTATTAAACACTTCAGGGCAGTTCTGCAGTCATTTATCTTAGCGAAAGCAAACGATAATTTTCAAGTCAATAAAATGATAGTCAAGTCGGTAGTTTGTTTACTACGTGGTCGTGTTATAAGCAGGATCACATGCTGCCCGTTAATATGGTTAATCTATTTGGAGAATGGTTGCTCTGCTCTGTTTGTGGATGTGCTTTTATTGTGTTTTAGTTGAATTTGTTAATTTGCAAATGTAATGATATTCTTGGTCTGTACTTCAAACTGATTTCTAGTAACTGCACACTTTTTATTTTATTTATTTTTTAGCATTGTTTTGTAATCTGCCAAATGTCTAATGTTGGGGAATGTTCGGTTGTGTTTGTGTAATGTAAAAAATCAATAAATACATAAAAATGCTGCCCATTCATTTTCCCTTTTACCTCTTTGTCTGCCAGGCGGCGGCCGGATGAAAAACGTTCGGCTTCATCGGAGTCTCGGCTCAGCAGACGCCATCGCAGCCGAGAGCGAAGCCACGACAGAGAGAGCAAGAAGAAGAGGAAGAAGAGGGAGAGGTGAGGAAGGATCAATATAACTTCAGAGTTTCAAGGTTTAGTTCCTTTTGATTTAATGCTGCATGTTTGACAAAAGTATGGCAACGTGTCAGGGCCTTTGTAGGTATTTCAAAAAAGAATTAGAGCGCCGGGGGGAAGGGGTTATTTCCCGATAGAAATGTATGAAAATCACATTGATGTACACTAGTAGAGACTAAACTGAACACTAGTAGAGACTAAGTAGAGACTAATCTGAACACTAGTAGAGACTAATCTGAACACTAGTAGAGACTAATCTGAACACTAGTAGAGACTAATCTGAACACTAGTAGAGACTAATCTGAACACTAGTAGAGACTAAGCTGAACACTAGTAGAGACTAATCTGAACATTAGCAGAGACTAAGCTGAACACTAGTAGAGACTAAGCTGAACACTAGTAGAGACTAAGCTGAACACTAGTAGAGACTAATCTGAACACTAGTAGAGACTAATCTGAACACTAGCAGAGACTAATCTGAACACTAGTAGAGACTAATCTGAACACTAGTAGAGACTAAACTGAACACTAGTAGAGACTAATCTGAACATTAGCAGAGACTAATCTGAACACTAGTAGAGACTAATCTGAACACTAGTAGAGACTAAGCTGAACACTAGTAGAGACTAATCTGAACACTAGTAGAGACTAATCTGAACATTAGCAGAGACTAAGCTGAACACTAGTAGAGACTAAGCTGAACACTAGTAGAGACTAAGCTGAACACTAGTAGAGACTAAGCTGAACACTAGTAGAGACTAATCTGAACACTAGTAGAGACTAATCTGAACACTAGTAGAGACTAATCTGAACACTAGTAGAGACTAATCTGAACACTAGTAGAGACTAATCTGAACACTAGTAGAGACTAATCTGAACACTAGTAGAGACTAATCTGAACACTAGTAGAGACTAATCTGAACACTAGTAGAGACTAATCTGAACACTAGCAGAGACTAATCTGAACACTAGTAGAGACTAAGCTGAACACTAGTAGAGACTAATCTGAACATTAGCAGAGACTAATCTGAACACTAGCAGAGACTAATCTGAACACTAGTAGAGACTAAGCTGAACACTAGTAGAGACTAAGCTGAACACTAGTAGAGACTAAGCTGAACACTAGTAGAGACTAAGCTGAACACTAGTAGAGACTAAGCTGAACACTAGTAGAGACTAAGCTGAACACTAGTAGAGACTAAGCTGAACACTAGTAGAGACTAAGCTGAACACTAGCAGAGACTAATCTGAACACTAGCAGAGACTAATCTGAACACTAATAGAGACTAATCTGAACACTAGTAGAGACTAATCTGAACACTAGTAGAGACTAATCTGAACACTAGTAGAGACTAATCTGAACACTAGTAGAGACTAATCTGAACACTAGACGAGACTGAGCTGAACACTAGACGAGACTGAGCTGAACACTAGCAGAGACTGAGCTGAACACTAGCAGAGACTGAGCTGAACACTAGCAGAGACTGAGCTGAACACTAGCAGAGACTAAGCTGAACACTAGCAGAGACTAAGCTGAACACTAGTAGCAGGGTTTCCCACACATAGACTTTACTTGTGCGGGTAGCCCAGGTATATTAACGTCCGCCAAAGTATCAAAGTATATTTCGCGACCCATTAAGGTTGAATCTTTTTGTACCCGCCCGCGAGCACGACGCCATCTGCGATCGATCAACTACCCCTCCTGTACCTGTTCGCTCTGCTATCGTGTGAAGGGTCTGCTTTATGCGCTCCGCAGTAACTCCGCTGCGAGGCTCCGGCGAACAGTTCATGAGCGTGCTCCACTAGATAAATCATTCCCTATCAAAGGTCCCTATCGAGTTTAACAACAGTTGAATGATTACAGGAAATTAATCCTGACATGTTTCTGAATACAATTTAAAGGGTTTAAAGCAAAATCACAACATTATAAAGCCACACATTTATGAGAAAAGAGAACGGGGGGATGTTTTTGTAAAGGAACCATATCGCCTTACTTCACAAGGCTTGATCACCATAATCTAAAAAACATTCGGTACCACTTTACAATAAGACTACCCTTATAAAGGGTTTACGAATAGTTTGTAATACATTTATTGATTAGGTTGTGAACACTTTATAAATCATGAATAAGCTTTTATAAAACATGAGATAAACAGGGCGACTGTGACCGGTTGCTTGCCAAATAGTGAGCCCACATTTATCTGTACTGCTAAGCCTTATATTGGCTACCTAGCTTACTTCGTCTCCTTCATCAGCCAGCATCCTTGGTATCTGTTGCTCACTGAGTTGATTCTCGCTAAGTAGCCAACATAAGGCTTAGTCATCTTGCCAAATAGTGAGCCTGTGTTGATGTATGAAAACTATGTTAGAACTGGTTTATAAATGGTTCTTAATGATTAATAAAGTGTTTACAACCTAATTCATAACCTACTTATAAACCCGTTATGAATCCTTTATAAGGGTAGTCTTATTGTAACGTGGCACCCAACATTCACTATTTCTCGCACATTTTCCCCGATAATATAACCCCCCTTTCCTCGACCCATAAATATTTTTGTCTCTAATACCCTGTGTGGCATAGATGATTAAACGTATTTCTTTGTATTTCCCTGAGAGCAGCTAATTTAAAAACACATGCGGCAACAGTCATTGATCTGTTGGGAAACGCGCCTTTTCTTTCTGAAGTGAAAACAGTTTCTCTGAATCTTTTGCATGTCTCGTTCCCAAAGGGATTCCCGCTCCCCCGACGGCCACCACCACGACCGAAAGAAGAAGAAAAAGAAGAAGAAAGACGAGAAGGAGAAGTGATAGTGCAGGGTCAGGGGTCAAAGGCCAACGTAGCGTACAGGTCAAACAGTGTTGCGTTTAAAGTGGCCCTATTCTGCATTTCCAGGTTCATATCAGTATGTAGTGTCTCTCCTGGGACATGTCTCCAAGCTTTAATGTTCAAAAAGCTCTTTATTTTATCTCTTCTAATTCACCCTCTGTCTGAAACCAGAGCCCAGTCTGCTCTGATTGGTTAGCTGGCCGGCTCTGTACTTCAGAAGTAAACAAAAGAGACCAATTGAGTGTTGCAGAAACAAGTCCTAACACCCTAAATTCACTTTTTACTACTTCCTGTTCTCTCGTCTCGAATCGTTGTTTCTTTGAACGTGTTTTTGTTCAGATGCCTGAAAATAAGGTCTGTGGGTAACACACCGGAAGAGGTTTCCACACGTTGTTCTACGACATTAAATACCCCACTCATGGAAGTCAGCAGCTTCTATGTGTCATCAAATAACAGTGGTTCCTACCAAGGGACTACAAGTCACTAGAAAACTTAATTTTGTCGACATGAGTCCGCCTTTAGTTTGTTTATAGCCTGACGTTAGCTTTTTACTTCTGGCCGTTGCATCTACGCTTCTGAAAGCACAAAGTACCGCTCGTGTGAGGACGTTATCCTGCTGAGTATATACGCTGTGAAGTATCATGAATGTGTGTTAACCGCAGAGCTTATGTTCTGCTATACTCTGAAATCCAATGTGGAAATCCCATTTGATTTTGGTCGAGGAACCCCTTTGTGATGCTAACTTTAGGGTCAGCATACAAAAACAAGTCATCGGGGGTGGGGGGGACGACACACAGAGATTTACATGTAGACAAATGTATATACCACACTACAGGGAAGAGAAAAAAATTGAGAAAATGCGGCCCCTTTAACTTTTGAAATTCAACAAGAGGATTTTGGAAGGAAATTCATGGGAATAAAGTTTTCGGGACATCAACGTTTGAGCTTTTTATTCACTAACAAACAGGATCCATCTTGTTTTAACACTATACTAATGCTCCTCAATTCCAGAGTTATTACATGAACACCAACAGGCCCCGCCCTCCTCTCTTTTGATTGGATAAGAGTGGCTTCCACTGCAGACGAGAGGAATTTAGGACTTGGGTGTCATAGCTGACACACGTCCAACCCGGGGTCAGAGGTCACGCTTCCTTTGTGCTTTTATTGTGCTTCGAGCGTTAACTCAAGGTTTCACTGAGGAGAGTCTTTGAATCAGAAATGTGGGTTTCAGACGTTTTGAATATTATACTTATGTGAATGTTTTAATAATACATGTTTGATTCCTTTATGGTATGCTGAAGTTCCTCACTATTCTTTTCTGTACACAGTTTGTAAACGTATGTAAATGTGAGTTTTGTTTTTCAGTTTTCACATGCAGTCCTCTCAGTTCAAATTAAGTCGGTACATTTTTATAATTGATTTTTTGGGAGAAATAACCTCAGAAAACAAAAACAAAGACTCCAAAACTCAAAGATATTTTGTTAACAGGTTTGTTATGAACAGTAAAAACTTCAAATGCTCTCATTTTAGGAGTTTGAACCATCAAATGTTTTTCATTTAAGCTTCAAAAATCACTTTTAAGTTATTAAAAAAAGCTCCTATTTAAATGTGTGTCTATTTGTTGCCGCTCGCTGTAGTTCAGATCTCTAGTTGTTTTAAAAATTGGATCTTTAAGAGTTTTCATGCTTTTTATTAACTTATTTATCGATGTGCTGTTTAAGCTTCTTCAAATAACAAGCTGTTTGCGTCATGATGTTTCTAAATTGGTTATTATGATGTGTAGAAATTGCAACCAGTGGAAAAAGTAAACTAAGTACTAAATACTAACAAGTAAGAGTACTGCATTGAGAATGGTACATATGTTACAGTATACAAGTATTGGCATCAAGTTATTCTTAAATGACCAAAAGTACTAGTTGTCCCTAAAGACCCATTTCAGAACGGTATATATGAAGTTACTGGATAATGATGAGTGGTGGAAGAAGTACTCGGCTCAGTAGTCTTTTACTAATGCCAATAGAACAAGTACAAAATGGCGTGGTAAGATTTCTTGAAGTAAAGATGGGATAATTAGATAAATGAGATCTTGTGTTTAGCTGGGAGAACTTATTCTGAACTATATTTGACCGGAATCAGGGGATTTGTAACCAAAAAAGCCAGAAATGCTCAGACGCTTTCTGTGTTCTGATGTTAGCTGGAGATGTTCCTCTAAAATAAGATGTTTTTAAGAGACTTTGACTTAAAGGTGGGGTAGGTAAGTTTGAGAAACCGGCTCGAGATCGCTAGAATTTGAAAATACACAACCGGAGAAAATCTGCCACTTCCTTACAGAGCCCCTCCTCCAACACTCACGAACGCGCACATGACCAATGAGGGCACGAGATAAGTTTGTGCACAGATGGAAGGCTGACAGGCAGGTAGGCCATCCAGTTATTATAGCCGGGCCGGCTAAAATGATTGGTCGTACTTTTTACAGTATCACGGCTTCCACAGATGATATTTTTTTATGGATTTTTTGTCAAAGCACTTCAGATATTCATTGCTATCGGGATGTTAAGAGCATTCCATGGAATATAACAAAAAGTGTATCTCGAGCCGGTTTCTCAAACTTACCTACCCTACCTTTAAGAAGATGCTTAAGATGCCGTGTCTAAAAACAAGACTTAACTTATTACGTTTTATGTCAAGTGTAACGACGTATTCTGACTAGAACATTGGACAAATATACTTGGCAAGATTTTACATGTTTGCTGTGTGCTCACTGGAAAAAAATGCTGCTCCAACAACAAGTTAAACAATAATGAAATCAAGCTGTTTTCACTTGAAATAAGTACAAAAATCTGTCAATAGAACAAGTGAACACGTGCTTGGTAAGATGTCTTGAAATAAGAAGGGATATTTAGATAAATCACATCTTGTTATTATCTGGAGAACTCATTTTGAACTATATTTTACCAGAATCAGAAAATGTTGTGTTACAATATAACTCAAAGGTTTTCTGTGTTCTGATGCTAGCTGGTGATTTTCTAATAAATATGTAAATAAATATGTTCTATCTGAGATACAACTCAAAATAAGATCTTTTGACTTATCAAGATGATGCATTGTCTAAAAACAAGACCTGATATCTCACTGCAGTGTTACTTCTGAAGTGATTGTGTCTTATATCAGGTGTAGAGACATATTCTGACTAGATATCAGACTAAGATACTGGGCAAGAGTTTTTGTAGTAAACAGTTTCCAGTGAAGTTGTGAGCAAAGGATATTTTGTACGTCTCTTGTTCTCCCCGTCCTGCTCTCTTTCCCTGCTGCTCCTGGATTCTGCCTCAGGTATTTCTCACCCCGTTGAGACGCAGAGATGGAGGACAAGGAGGGTCCCGTCAGAGCCTGGGAACCCGAGGGCTCCTGAGACAGAGCGACGACACTCTGAGGAGAGCTCATCTGGGGAACGCTAAACCACATCTTTTTCTGTCCTCGTCTGAATCCTGAAAGCCTGCGGAGGATCTGCTCATTCTGCTGCACCATGGGGGCCTCCAGCAACAAGGTGAGGGGCTGCGGGTGGAGAAGGACTCACATCATGTAGTAACTAGTAACAGTAGAAGGACTCTGATCATGTAGAAGGACTCACATCATGTAGTAACTAGTAACAGGAGAAGTACTCAGATCATGTAGTAAAAGTAGAAGTACTCAGATCTTGTACTTGAGTAAAAGTAGAAGTACTCAGATCATGTAGTAACAGTAGAAGTACTCAGATCTTGTACTTGAGTAAAAGTAGAAGTACTCAGGTCATGTAGTAACAGTAGAAGTACTCAGATCTTGTACTTGAGTAAAAGTAGAAGTACTCAGGTCTTGTACTTGAGTAAAAGTAGAAGTACTCAGATCTTGTTCTTGAGTAAAAGTAGAAGTACTCAGATGTTGTACTTGAGTAAAAGTAGAAGTACTCAGATCTTGTACTTGAGTAAAAGTAGAAGTACTCAGATCTTGTTCTTGAGTAAAAGTAGAAGTACTCAGGTCTTGAGTAAAAGTAGAAGTACTCAGATGTTGTACTTGAGTAAAAGTAGAAGTACTCAGATCTTGTACTTGAGTAAAAGTAGAAGTACTCAGGTCTTGAGTAAAAGTAGAAGTACTCAGATGTTGTACTTGAGTAAAAGTAGAAGTACTCAGATCTTGTACTTGAGTAAAAGTAGAAGTACTCAGATCTTGTTCTTGAGTAAAAGTAGAAGTACTCAGATCTTGTTCTTGAGTAAAAGTAGAAGTACTCAGATCTTGTACTTGAGTAAAAGTAGAAGTACTCAGATCTTGTTCTTGAGTAAAAGTAGAAGTACTCAGATCTTGTTCTTGAGTAAAAGTAGAAGTACTCAGATCTTGTTCTTGAGTAAAAGTAGAAGTACTCAGATCTTGTACTTGAGTAAAAGTACCAGGGTGTAGGAATACTCTGTTACAGTAAAAGTCCTGCATTCAAAAATGTTCCTCAAGTCAAAGTAGAAAAGTATTCTCATCAAAATATAGTGAAAGTAACGACAGTAAAAGTAGTCATTGTGCAGATTGGTCCATTTCAGAATAATATATGAGATATGTTTTATAATGATTGATCATGAAAGTGTTCTCAGAGCTGGTGGAGAGGACAACGTGTACAAATATCAGGTGTTTGCTTTTGGGAAGATGAAGGTGATTATTAAATCCCCTTAGTGAAATTAAGAGTAACACACAGGAGAGGAAAGGTGAACAACTGTGATAAGAATACAAATTGTAAGTAACATAAAAATAAAAGAAATTGAACTTAGAAGTGGAAACATAACATTAATTGGAATTTAAATGCAACACCTTGTACAGAAAGATGATAACCCTGTTGTTGTGTGTTAACATATGACATCGTGTAGATAAATCAGTTTCGTGCCGTTATGCTGAAAGTCTTCCTCTCCACTTACTTTTTCGTTTCAGGATGAATTTGACTCGTATCTTTTCAATAGTTCATATTCGTATGGTGAATTCCTCTATCAGTGTCATATCATTCAGGAGACGGACATTTTGAGGGTCAAAGTCTCGGTTTAGCTGTTTGTTCTCTAAGCTGGACATGTTTCTGAGTATCCCCCAGGATGCCAGCTGGTCCTCACGGGTTGAAATACAAGCTGTTATTGTTGTATAATAATATGAGTTCTTTGTTAAGATGTTAGCGTATTTGATGTCTCTCTTCTCCAGCTATATGTTCTTTACTTGTAAACTAATCCTAACTTGTAATTGTATTTTTCCCGTTACACTTTGAGAAAAGGACAGTTTTCAGCAACAAAAACCCTATTTTTACTGCTCTACAATATGTTCACTACAACGGGTATTTCTCCACAGAATGTTATTGAAATGTTTTGATTTGGTCTTGAAATAATATGTGAGTATAAGTTTGGCGACCTGGACACATACAGGAGTGATAACAGTTTCTAAAGACAACCACAGATGAATTCACTCTGCGTCCAAACAGAGAGCCTTTCGGTGCATCTTTCTCCATTCTGGTCATTAATGATTTCATTTCATTTCTCGGCTGTTTTTGGGGCATTTCCTCTTGAAGGATTCATCATAACTCTTTATTTTAAACAGGACATTAGTTTGGGGAAAGTAAAGGATTTATTTGACCAGATGATGTTTACTCAATTTAGGCATTAATAATGTAGCTAGGTAAAGAAAACATGTCAATATTAAGCCCCGTGAGAAACGAGACACCCTCAAATGTTAAAATGTCGAATGCCACGAAACGTTTAACTGATGTTTGAGATGAGCGTGGAGGGTCTCTCCTCTCGGCCCCGGAGGTCCTGCTGTTTGGTCTCTGCAGCTTTTCAGCCGACGCTCCTCTTGCAGAACAGACTCACCTGAAGACGAGAGTACTTTTACTCAAGTACTGAACTTTGAGGGAACTTTAGTAAAAGTAGAAGTACTCAGATCTTGTTCTTGAGTAAAAGTAGAAGTACTCAGATCTTGTACTTGAGTAAAAGTAGAAGTACTCAGATCTTGAGTAAAAGTAGAAGTACTCAGATCTTGTACTTGAGTCAAAGTAGAAGTACTCAGATCTTGTACTTGAGTAAAAGTAGAAGTACTCAGATCTTGTACTTGAGTAAAAGTAGAAGTACTCAGATCTTGTTCTTGAGTAAAAGTAGAAGTACTCAGGTCTTGTACTTGAGTAAAAGTAGAAGTACTCAGATCTTGAGTAAAAGTAGAAGTACTCAGATCTTGTACTTGAGTCAAAGTAGAAGTACTCAGATCTTGTACTTGAGTAAAAGTAGAAGTACTCAGACCTTGTACTTGAGTAAAAGTAGAAGTACTCAGATCTTGTACTTGAGTAAAAGTAGAAGTACTCAGATCTTGTACTTGAGTAAAAGTAGAAGTACTCAGATCTTGTACTTGAGTAAAAGCAGAAGTACTCAGATATTGTACTTGAGTAAAAGTAGAAGTACTCAGATCTTGAGTAAAAGTAGAAGTACTCAGATCTTGTACTTGAGTAAAAGCAGAAGTACTCAGGTCTTGAGTAAAAGTAGAAGTACTCAGATCTTGTACTTGAGTAAAAGTAGAAGTACTCAGATCTTGTACTTGAGTAAAAGTAGAAGTACTCAGATCTTGTACT